TCTATCCGCTCTTGTGGGAATGTTACAATGTTGCTAGGAGTAGACGGTATCATTTTTCTCTCACAGCAACTTTGCTCATTGGCTCTATTTCAGGCAATAGCACAGGCAGACAAACAGAAACATTTATTCCCAGCATAACTGGAACCTCTTCTCCTATTATAATAAAACTGGCATCAGCCATCACCAGAAAGTACTTACAAGAGCGGGCAACACCACATACGGGTGAAATCAATGTCACCCTCTGAGGGCACAAGTGACCATTACACAAACTGCTTAAGGAGTAAAGTTCTGTTCTTTCAAGGAGTAATTTCTAGGAAGATTAGCCAGGCAGGTGCAGCTCTACACCACATGCAACACAACTGAATGATGTGGTGCCCTGTGGAAAAATGCCCCACAGAAGTAGAAGAGGAAAGATGCAATTGGGTCAACATTTGTTGAAAACTAGTAGGTGGAGAACTTGTTTGTATTGAGAACTTGTTAAGCTGGAGGAGCAGCAAATACATTTTTTCCTGTAATCCTGAGCCTATAGGAATAGATTCCACTTCTATCTGATCCCGTTCAGAGAGGAATGATCTGGCTTTGTCAGGAGGAAGTGCATATGTCATTGAGACAAATTTATTTATTTATTAAATGAATTCCTGTATGTATGACCTATTCCAATCAAGCTCAGAGAGAATCATACTATGCCCATGGCATTTGTTTACTTTTTGATCTACTAAAGAAAAATTATATGTATAATATCCTGAATACATCTGACTATTCTTGACAGAATTATCAGTGAAATGATGAAACAGCAGAATTCTTTGTAAAAGAAATGCTTGAAGAAAAAGAATGTAAAAATGAAAGAATCACGGTGTTTACTTTCTTAAAGAAATCATGGCAGAGCCTTGTGAAGAGTGATTCTTTCCTTCACTGCTCCTTTCCTATCAGCCACTTCACCCCTTTGCTGTGTTTGTCTGTTACCTCCAACTGTGATGTGCACTTGCTGCTTGACTGGCCAGATGAACTCAGTTACAATAGCTACGGGTGGGGGAAAAAAGGCCAGGAGTTTATAACACATGGCCCTCTTTCTGAAACAACAGCTTCAGTTTGCCTGGAGCCAGTGGTTCACATACATACAACATATGATTACTCTTTAAAGAATTAAAACATTACCCTTGAGAAACAAGAAAAAAAATACAATTAAAAAGGGGAGGGAGCTATTTCTGTGAAACAATCACTGCTTTCAGGTCACACGGGGAAACAATAGAAATTTCACCTCCCCATAACTGGAATTGCTCAGAGAAGCAGATGCTAAGCATCTTTAAACTAAGTCCTACTTGTTCAGTCTGCTAGACTATATTCTAGCCCAGTGTCCTCAGCTTACTTCATTGGGGCTGAAACTGACTATCAGGCCAATGTTACACTACATCTCATTTCCTTCAAGTCTTTTACACCTGTAATAATGCTCATTTGGGTGAATGGTGCTTTGTACCCCAGTAGTTAAATGAAATTTAAGAATGTAACAAAACTTGCTACAATTCATCAGAGCTGGGGTTCATAACAAACACTGTTTAGAAGGAACATTATTATTTATGGAGCAAAATGGTTCTGAAAATAAACTCCTATGCATATTTAATGTCTTCTTCCCTTTATTTTTATTCTAGGGAGCAGGAAGGACTCAGAAAAACAACACAACTCAACAATGAAAGATGAAAACAACAGAAAGAAAACAGAACAATGAAAGATGACTTGATCCCTTCTAAAGGCTAACTCTATGCAAAACTGCTTTTTTTCCCCCCATTTTCAGTTCAAGAGTTCTTCAATCTACTGTATATCAATAGATAAAACACGACAAAAAAGTTCATTCTGAAGAAATCTTAAATTAAATTCCCGTCTAATAAAGGCCATTTGTCTTCTCTGACTCACATCCAAGAATGAAAGAAATATAATGTAGATTCTCTTTGCCACACCCCTCTTTTCATTTCTTATTTGCTAAAGTATATCAGATTACTGAATTTTGGAAAATGATGAGGAGATTGGTAAGTGCTTCACCCTAGAAACTTTAATTATTATTATTTTTTAATTATTATATTTGAATATGCTTGAGTTTCAAATAAAGTTGAAGCATTTAAGAGCTGGAGTGGCTTCATTAAAGTTAACTGGGCACCTGCACAGCCAATTGAGGCTGTTTTTCACTTTATCGCCCATGAACAGTAATGATGTGCCCACAGGTTACCAAAGAAACTACAGAAAATTCTCTCGCTTAGAATAAGGCGGATTTGGAGCGGTATGGAATACCACATTGCTTTTGAGAGGACATCTACAGCCAGATCATGAGCCTTGATCCCTAGTCCACCCACAGAGAAACGCTCCCCAAATTTCAGGACACAGCGCAACCGCAGAGCGAGAGCTCCTTGGATGTGGGAACTGAAATACTTTTTGGCTGAGAATCAACACGGGAGCCAGAGTGCGTTTCATGTACATGCTGGTAATTATCAGGACCACAGAACGAGCGCAATGTTGGAACTCAGAACCTTTCTACATTAACAGGAGTGTCAGTGTAGCCATGCCTACAAGTGGCACTTCTAATGCTGCCGCTGCACATTAATGCTTTCTGTTTACATGAGAAAAACTGGGCTTGTTTGGACATCCTGTTTATAATCTCTAAAAGCCCACAGCCATCCTTACCAACTAACATCTGGTAAGAACAGCTAACTTCTTTCTGCTGTTCAACCTGGTAAGCGCAAACTGCAATGCACTGGGTAGAGATTTTAAACTATATATTTTCGTGATAAGGAAAAGGAAAAAGCAGACAACCACTGTTACAGAGTAGAAAGTGACAGGTATCACTTCAAACTCCTCAAACCTGGTTAGACAACATCTAAAAGCTAAGAGCTAGATCTAGGTCTGTGTGACAATGGCTTCTGTCCTTTAAATCCATAGTTTAGCACTCCAGTGGATGGAGTGGATTTTGTTAAGGGAATTCCCTCAGTCAGTAAGTATCCTCTTCAAAAATAGACAATACCAGTCAAAAGCGACACCAGAGTGAGCTATTCTAGCCAGACATATCAGCTCAATTTTGGCTGAGCCTCACCTATAATTTATAGCTATTCTCCTTTCTTAAAAGTCTTGAAAGGGATAAGCAGGACAAACACGGCTTCCCTTTCCCACAATGTAAATAAGCAGATTAAAGAAGACTTCAGTAAGCCCCCCCCCTTTTTTTTAAACCCACAAGAGGAGAGGTTAGCAATTAATTGTGGAAAGGCCTCAAACACCACACTGTCGCAAAAGAGAAATAAAACACTCATATTTATCACAGATGTTATTACGAAGTTCGACAATGTATTTTGGGTTATTCTTGACTAGGTCTAATGCTGATTTCTAGAGTTCACGCCACTGTGGGACCCATATATCTAGATATACATGCTAATTTTGATCAGTGTGTATATATGTTTATACATATTCATGTAGGCACATGCGCACACGCACTGCTGTGTACATTATAAAAGAAACTATGAGGAATCGGTAGGGGGAAACTTAATACAATCATTCACTTTGGTATGGAAACCACCATGTAAAAGGACTGTCTCAATCAGTTGGGAGCATGACTTTTGGGTTTGCAAAGAAGGTATTTACAAAAACCAATACCATTTACAAAAGCAAGTATCACTGGCATATTAGTAATATGTCACTTAAGCATATTAATTACTTAATTTGTGAGATATCTTAACGTACACAAGGCGTCTTCAGTTAATTTAACTTGGAAAACTGCAAAGTGCAGTTAGGCCTAGCACAAAATGTTCAAAATCAACTCAATAATGAAACATGGATAAGATTATACATTCATCAGTATGGATGTTAACCTATTTGACATTAACATTAGCTAAACAGACAGCTGACACATGGCTTTTCTATGACTAATGGTAGATCAGAGGGAAAACACTGTGATGAGATTTCATGGTCAGTACTAAGGCAGACGATGGCATACTATATAGCAAATCAAGTTCTAGACCTGAGTTCTACCTGTGATACTGCCTTCCAGTGCACACTGTGACATATCACATACCTTTCTGCCACAGTGTCCCCAGAAGGTAAACACTCACTCACCTCAAAGTATTGTGACAATCAGTTTATAAGCCTCATACACTTAGACAGTGTCAATGCAGAGGAAGATATTCAGCACCTTGTAAGAGGTGGTGAAACTTGCAGGATCAAACCTAACTGTAAAGCTCTTTTAGTCAGCAAGTATTTGATCTTCAAAGTAATCTATTTGAGGGCAGAATTTCCCTTTAAAAGCTTAAAAGGGAACTATTGCATATATTTATTAGCCAAATCATCACCTGTGCCACTGATTTACAGAACAGTAATCAAGGCAAGATCTCCAGATTTTCAAATGATACTAAAACTAGAGTCAGAGCAAGTAATGAGCAATACCACCATTGTATTCCAAAGCATTTGGATCATTGAGGTAATTAGGCCAGCAGATGGCAAATGCAGCTCAGTGCTGAAAAATGTAAAATAATTGGTCTGGGAATATGTGCTAAATGGAACAATCATATAGCATGATGATTAAGGAAAAGATTATTTGTGGGGGAAAAAATACTAAACCATGCAGACGTGCATATAAAAAAAAGAGAGACAGAGACAGAGAGAGAGAGAGAGAGAGAGAGAGAGAGAAGGGCTATGACAACACATAGCAAATGAATAAAATATAGAAAGGAAATGGTAGAAGGCATTTGTTAGATCCTATGAGGCATAACATATATGAACTATTTTCATGATAAAGAGATTCAAGCAGGAAGTGATTTAATTAGGTAACAGGAACAACTACTGTGAAAGCCTAAGTATAAGCAGAAGCATTCAGCACCTTACAGGACGCATTTGGAGCCACACAACATCAAATCCAAAGTCAGTAAACTTGTCTGAAGATCAAGTATACTAGGATAAGACTAAGGCCTCCTGAAGTTTAAAACTAAAAGCCACAACAAGCCTGGATAAAGCAAGAAACACTAACCTACCTGATTAATAGTCAATATCTCAATGCAGAAATGACCCGGGGAGCGTTCTTAGTCTCCCTGTTGGAATTACTGGATTTTGCGTATGAGACCAAAAGGCAAGGTCCTGGTCTGAACTAGATAGACAAAGGACTTGGGACTTTGGTCTCTCTAAACACAACTCTAATCACTGCACCATCAGCTATTCTAGAGCAAGTCTCCCAATTCTGTCCTAAGGCTAAGGTCCCTTTTCTAATACAAATTTCATCAAAACTAATAAAAGGTTGAAAATGCCTTTTTGTGAAGGCTGCAACAAAAATTTGATCCTTTGGAAAAGTCACAACCAGCTACACTAATTACATACATCATAGGTGACCATGGCACATAAAATAGTTAGTGTACCCCGGTTCTAAGCCTTGTATTGTCCAAATAAGATAAAACACGACAAATGGCAAAAATAACAAAGAGTGGAGGGGTAACTGGATAAGGGATGCAGCTGGGAGAAAACACTGTAGGGTTGACATTTCTGGTACAAACCGTTATGTTTAAAAAGTAATACAACACAGATGCAAAGACTAAGCTAAAAGAAAGATTTGTGGAGCACTGAGTAGTAGGCACTGCTACACATACGACCAATGACGTTCTAGGACAAGGCAAGTTATGAGGAAAAGTGCAGACAACCAGGGCCCATTTTCATTGAAAAATATGACAGAGAAATGTGACAAAATGGAGATTTTTGGAACTACTGACTGTTGCTAGAGTTTTATTTTTCACATTGGCAAAAAGAAAAATTTTGGTGCTCCATACAATGGGAGCAGGATTCATGTCAAAAACTTCAAAGTTACAAAACAAGAAACTAAATTTAAAAATTACAGTATAACAAGAGACATGCAAAGCTCCTGCATATACTTAGAAATAAATACTGATATACATCACTGAAAGTCTCAAAAATAACGTAGCTTATCAAAGGCTGTAGTGGATTCTTCATCAAAAATTCAGCCAGTTTCAGCTGTCTTTTTAAAAAGAAACCTCTAACTTGGGCGAGTATGACAAGATAATTTCAACTGCTTCTGCTAGCTATATCATCTGTGAATCTATTTGACTGTTTTTAAGTGTGCTTATTTAAAAAGAGAAGAAAACAACAGAAGGGCTATAAAGAGCAGACAGGTGGGATTAAGACACCGATAAATATTAAAAAGCACATTCCTAATCCTAAAATATCTTTTGTTCCTATAAAACAATTGCAAAGTTCTTCCCTTACACCATTAATTCCCATTTTCATCTTAACCAGGTAACTTTATTTTGTACTTGAACTATGATATGAAAGTGCTCAGTGCTTTTCTCTGATTGCACTGGCAGAGTTATATGAACCATTACCTATCATTACCTTTATTTCAAACCTGTCACTTCTTCCTCTTTGTAGCCAACAAGGTATAAGAAGGAAAAAAAAATGCAGTCTCTATCAGAGAATAAAATCACCCATATAAAAATGAGCTGAAAGGAACATGTGAACAAAGGAGGAAGGAGGGTGAAGAAAGGGAGAGATGAGAATCTTGATAAATCTGCTCTCTCTGGCAAAAGACATTCTACTCTCCTGCTATAAAAAAACCCTAAAATACAATGTACACTGGAGCTGACTTCTGCCCATAATTCTCCTTTCTCCTGCCACACCTTGTACTTAAAATACCTCAAACATTCCACAAATATTATGCAAATAAAAATAATATTGATACCACTGCCTCATGAGTACAACAAATGTATGTAACTGGAGCTTAAGTACATGAAATGATGCATTTCCCTCAAAGCTGTGCCGTCTCTTATGAGGTGCTTTTCAGTAAGTCCTTCATGAGCCACACAATGGGCTGTGAGCCACTAATGTTAATTAAATGGCCCCCTCTAACTCTAGTGCTGCCAGTGACATGTTAATGACCTCAAAATGCACTTTGATTTGGAACTTTTTACCCGCCGGGGGCGTGCCAGGCTGCCTTACCTCTGTAAAGCTGTGGCATGCTCCAGCTGCTGCTGCACATGTATGGAATGCCATTCCCATTTGCAGTAACATGCACTGTTAGCCAAACACTGAAGGAAGGTAACCGTTATACAGGGCACTGCAGACAAAGCTCACAGACTAAAACATGCCAGTAAGACTTGATTTGTCTGCTTGAAACACTCAAAGAAGCTGTACGCATTTACAAATTGATGGGGCTACTGACAGGCAGACTGTCATGAAGGCAGCCAACTGAATGCAGCAGAAACACTCCAGAAGCTTGTTTACTGCACTCAGTGCACAGGGTTAGCAAGTCTATTCCTTAGCATCTCCAGAAAAAAAATCCCACCCCCCACAAAACGCACCCATAACCACACACACACACAATCATACACAGAAAATAAAAATCATAAATAGTCAAATTCACCCCAGTGTAACACCACAGAGCTAATGCCACAAACTATGGTGTTCTACTGTCTTTCAATAAGCACTTTATTAGGAGGCAAAGAAATACAAAGGATCAGTTATCCATGTACTCTGGCAGTGTAACAGAAGTCACTAGAAATAACCAGAGGAAATAATGTAATGAATTGGCAAACAGACAGCTGAATTCACTATTATTCCTAATCCAGCCATTAAACCTTTCCAGACCAAGCTGAAAACTCGCATATTATTTCTGCCCTAGCATATGAATGTAAGAGAAAGAAATCCAGCAAAGGCACAGAATGACATGCACATATCCTTTGAAAGCAAATGCCTCTTAAAAATACTAGATTATTCAACTGAATTTATTGACAACAAATGCCCAAGTTTAGTAGAGAGTCTGACAAGTTTTATCTCCAAAGCTATCCCAAAAAAGAAGATGGAAATATCCGGGATATGTGTTAAGAACGAAGCCAGAGAGTCTGCCCTGGTAGGCATGTTACTGGGCAGCTGTAGGGAACTGTAAAGAGTTGACTGAAGGAGCCTGTTAAGCAACGTAACAGAGGGAAAACTTATAAGACTTAACAACAAAGAGGATACGCAAACAGTGGTAGAACATAGACAGGGATATCGAGCCCAGTCGATACCCTAAAGGCCATCTGATGGCACAGAAGAAGAGTTCAGATTCAGAAGCAGATTTCCCATCTTGTTTTGAAAAGATTTATACCCATGCTTTACAGTTCACATACATGCTCCTTCTGGGCTGTGACTTAGTAATACCTCAAATAGCAAAACATAATCTGTAAACCTACGATAATTCTTTTCTCAAGGTTGCTTGTTGCTTATAGGATCTCTTCTGTCCTGCCATTTCCTTTGAATGATTTAATGCAGTTAAAATACAAGACTCACACTAGTTTAAACTTCTCCTTTTAGTGTGGTTAGGGAGAGGTAAGTAGTTTCCACTTTTTTCTCCCCAAGATCTAGCTAATGGCAGTCAACAGTGCTAGAATGTGGGTAGATTTCTGTGACAAGGATAGGGAGAAGCTCAAAGATAAGCTGTTCCAAGAGCACAGATGGTGCAAGAAAAAAACTGAAGGATAAAATAAGAGCTTTCCTCTGCTTTTAGCCTCTAATTTCTATGATGAAGGCAGTATATATTTCTAGGAGCTAATATGCAGCTTGTCACACCCTCTAAAAATCACAGGTTAGTAAGTATTAGAACCAGAATGCAATAATGACATTGTGCATTCCACCCAAGATAGAATTTGTACTTGAATTTTACTTTCATTTCAATACATGAATATGTTCACTGAAGGCTACAGGACTCTGCTCCGACTACAAAAGATGCATGGAAGTTCAGATATTGAAAAAAAAAATAAAAACCCCACACCTCACACACCTATTTCAGTGCTTGTATCCAAAAGTAATCAGTAAGAGTCAGAGAAAAACATGCCCACTCAGAGGTAGGAAGCAAAAGACCTTGAAGAAAAATGAATGAAGAAAGAAGAGAGGGAGAGAAAGGAGATCCTGAAAGCAGGAAGCAGTCTGCAAACTGCACTACAATAACAACACTGTAATTTGCTCATATTGGCTTTGTTATAACATATGAAATACTGTTCAGATTCAGTGACAGCAAAACACATCCTGCTATAAATAATCTTTAATTTCCAGAGGAAAAAGGCAAAATATAGCAAACAGATCAAGCCATTGTCTGCTGGATTACATACAGTCAGAACATATCAAGTCTTAGTATTACCATTACTTCATTTGAAACACAACAGCACCTACAGTCCGGTGGGTAACTTCCAAAGATTCCATCAGTGCTTCAGAGAATTCAGAATTTAAGACAGCACACACAAGAGGGATGGGAGATTATTAAAGCTTACCCTTTAACAAAGCATGTATCAGCTTCCTCCACTAGCACTCTAACTAGCCAAAAAATAAGAAATACCTAGTCCATGATTTATATTACCCCAAGCTTAGGGAAAATCTATTATCTATGCATAAATGCTTCCCTTTAAAGAACAGCATATGGGAGAACGAGAACTGATTCAAATTCTAAAAAGGTTCCACTGAAGAGATTTGCACTCCCATCATGTGCAGTACCATGCACGGGCATGGAACCGAAACATCTGATACAAACATATCTAATGTGTTCAGACTAAAGAAGAGCAAGAGCCTAATCAGCAGGCAGGGAATATGCTTTCCAGAAGGGCTCCATTTCATGGGGCTCCACTAAGTGGACATCTGCAGCTGCAACACACTTGCATGTTCTCTTGTAGTCTGCAAAATGGGAAAGATGATGCTGGCTGACAGACAGCAATCACACTGACTAACTGCTTCTGGCATTTGTGCTCATACAGAAGGAGAGATGTTACAATACTGTCCTGCAAATGAAACTGAAAGCCCAAAACGTGGGGGGATGCAAGTAAGTTTTACAAGCGTTTCCTTCAGTGCACAACTTTTAAGAAGTATGTACTAAGTCTTTCCAAATTTGACTTGAGAGTTGGACAGGATCTAAAATCCTGAAAACGTGTATAAAGAACCTGAACTCTTTAGAGGAGAGGAGTCTAACCGTCATGGCATTCCTTTCCTTATCCTTCACTTCCATGCCCCTAATATGCACATCATTTAAAGACAGTATTTTAGCAGAGTTCCTAGTGAGAGTAGGGAGCACAAGTTATGCATATGATGCCTCTCTGC